ATCGATAATTCAGGAATTCCTGTACATTTTGATATCTTTCGCTAGTTTCACTTAGACTTCGCTCTATGATCGTTGAATAAGTGCCAATATCTCGTGTAATAGTAGCATATCCAAAGGGCCACCATGGGACAATGGACATTTTCAGCTTCATTGCCGTCCGTCTGTTCCAGTGGCGGCCGGCTGCCGACTGGATGGCTGACTGGCTGGCCGGCTGGCTTGCTGGCTAAGCATTCGAGGCACAGGGCACATTCATATTGTTTAACGTTGCCATCGGGCCTTGCCTAATACCCCCCGGATCACTGTCGTCAATACCGGCGGCGAATTTTCTTCATGGGGGCGCTTCACAAAGTAAATCCCTTCTCTCCGTCATCGTGCTCTAATCCCCCCTTCCCTCAGTCTATGTTGTTTGGATGGCTTTGGAGGGCAGTAGCCACCATTGCCATAAACTGTCGCCTGACTTCAGAATCTCCCGCATGTTTCCGGTTTCAATGAGAACCGTATGTGTGGATGTGTTTCCAGCAGGCAGGACTCATTGTGTGAGTTCATCTATGACACATGTATTAAATCAGCTTTGTTGAACTGTATTGATGACAAAACAGTTTCGAAATCCGCCACAGCCTCCCACAGTTTTTAACTTGTTCTTTCTCTTACTAGTAAAAGTCTAGCCCTGAATTCTTCATATGACTAAATCCAGAAATCCTCAATTTCATTTAAGGGGCCATCTGACAGTAAGTCCTTAATCAATAGAAGCCTTTACTTCCCAGTAAGTGACTACAAGTTCTATAAAACTTTTGCAGTCATAGTAATTTAGCCTATTTTCATTGTTTCTACTCCGAGAGTGGTCAATTGATAATAATATTGATAATTAATATTTAATTATCATTTTTAATTGCTACCAGAAAGCCTGCTTGGCAGCCAACTCCTTTGCGGTTCTTGATAACATTCTCGTTCCCCGCTTCCACATCCCCCCCCCCCCCCCCCAACTGACACTGCCATCCACTATTCTGTACCCGTTTACTCGACTGAATTTATAATTTCATAAAGTTCTAAAGTACTTCATAAATTTACTTCATAAAATTTATTCCATGATTCAACAAAATAATCCATTTTGAACTTGCGTTTTTAAATAAATAATAAACTTCTGCCTACTTCTTAACGTCAGCAACAAAATGATTTTTAGAGAGGCCAGAAAAAACAGCCTGTTAGGTCTCATTAGTAGAGTACGCTGTGCCAATGGAATGCGCCATTCAATCATCTTCCTTTTAGACAACATAGTCAATTGGAAGGGATATATAGCTTGACAAGGAGAAATTATATGATGCCAAGCATCGATGTTAGTAAGCACGTTTATGATTCAGACCCGCTCCCTCCATTCCTTATGACTGAACATTCCACGAATCAATCTTTGCACCACCGAGAAATTCCCGTAAACTTTCCGGTCTATGTGATAGTCGTCTCATTAACTTTGTATATTACTCTTACAATCATTAATACATAAAGCTCTATCCTAAATGAGCTCACTAATCCGCCACACTCTCGAATAACTCGTCCGAAAAGGAAAAATCACATTTGTTAACTGGCATTTCTCTAGAATATGCTCCTAAATGATTTCTACTGGCAAATCTTACTTTGATTCTCTCCTAACTTATCCCTCAACCTTACTATTTACATCTTCTTTTCAATATACTCTTGAGTAGGAGCGATAAAATCCAATTTTAATTAATGACGATTCCGTCAAAACCAACTAGTTAGTTGTGGAAAGACAGGAATGTGTGCCTTATCACTATTGCTAGCAATAATACGGATTAAAGTGGTTTTTTCCTTAGCAAATTCCAATACGTCGGAATTCCATAGTGACTATGATGTAGTAACGTTGCCGGCCGGCTGGGAGGCCAGTGCATGCGAAAAGGGCTCAGAAATAATTGATGTGAGGTAGTTGGAAACAATCGCACACAATTGTGACTCTGCACAATGGAAGAGTTGGAGCGCTTGAGCCCTCTATTCAGTGAATGTCCTGCCTGATTCAGCTTCAATGGTCTCCTCACCCTGAGCACGCTTTTGAAGCGCTGTCCCCCCACCCCCCTGCCCCTTCACTTCTCGGCAATTTTTTGCCTCGTGCTTTTGGCGGACGTGGCAGCATTCCTCCCAGGCAGCACTCCCAGACATTTGAAGTAATGTACAGTAAGCTTGATTTTTTTCTTTCTTCCCGAATTCCTTGTCAAATCCTTTCATCTACTGGCCGACAGCTGTTATAGCAGTTGCTCGTCATCGTCGACGATGCGATGGCCTACGTCTGCTGGCCAGAAGTCGGGCAACAGAGCTCACGAGGTGCCTTTGCCCTCCCCTTCATTGCTACATACGTCAGTTCAGTTAGTTCACATCTGTTGGCGGCTTTTTCTTCACTCAGGAGACCCCCACGCCGAAACTCGTAAAAGTCTCGATGGCCATCGCCTAGTTCCATCATCCGCAATCCCCGGGCTCAGACTCCCCCCCTCCCCCCCTACAATGATGCCATCTCTCACGCTCTTCCCTACCAAAGCCGATTAGGGGAATTTTGTGCCTGGATTTCTTCTTAGTAAGTTGTTCTGCAAAATGGCAAGCATCGACTTGATTTCAGCGCAAATTCATTTAAAACTGTCACTTCCTTCCTTCTTTTTTTGTACTGCGATTTCGGCTATTTCGGTCTGATTGTTTCGCCCTATCGTTTCCTTCAAGTTCCCTAACCCAAAAAAAGCTTCAAATTAGAACGGATTCACATCCAAGGCCTAGTCCCTGTTGATATGCTGAGCGAAATGTCTTACTCCACCAGATCGCCGACGATTTTGAACGCCGACAATCCGGACGCCTTTGTCTGGTCGTCCAACGCGTTCACGCCTCCTCCTTTTCGCCGGCACTGAATACCGCAAATTAGCCACGCTTTTATTCCATGTGCGCAATCAATCCCCGCATTCAGAAATATCCGTCTCTGGCGACAAAATTTCTGACTTTCGTTGTTGGTTGGCTGGCTTGCTAGCCGGCTATGACGGTTGATCATCTGGAAACCACCCCTGATGGCTACTAGGGTAACGGATTCGCCCCTGACAGTTTTTATCATCTGGCCGAGCTTGTTTTCTTTCTATGACGATACCTCCCAGCCTCCGAAAAAAAACATGAACTCTGGGAAGTCCCATACTCGGGTCGGTCCCAGACCAGAACCAGTTGACTTTCTCTATGGCACTTTGTGAGATGTACCGATGCCGTACCCAAACTTGTGATGCTTCCATTTTGCACATTGAACTGCTTGCCAATCTCTACCGGTTCATAAGGATCACATGGTTTTGAGTGGCTGTGTGACATCGTTGTGAAGAGATCTGTCACTCAGCTGCGCCACCACCACAGTCGGTCGTCGTCACCTCTTGTGCAAGTACACGTTTTATCAACTAACCTCAGTCTCACAGTCTCAATATCGATCGTTTCGGATCTCGTTACCATTATTACTGTATGATTTCCGTTTATTAATTGCATGATTAAAGCTGTGAATGCGTACGAGACGACCTTCTACGGCAACACTCACCAGGAAACGTTCATATAGTGGTAGGTGACAATTAAGATCAATAAAACCGCATAATTTGTGTTCTCATTACACTTGTGACGTATGTTGGACGATTGCCAGCCACCCAAGACATTGCCGGGGAACTATTTACATGGCATTAGGTGAGGGGTGCATGATGTGGAAGTGACTGGCGATATCACTGGGGCGGCTGGTATAGACAGACCCCTGGGGTGATCGGCGGGGAAGAGATGGGCTAGGGGCAAGTAGGCGGGGTTTCGGGACGTGTTGGCACGTGAATTGGGAGTTTGTTTCGTTGTGTAATGGCTTTCATGAAACCGCAATGTTGCTGCTACTTGATGCATATCATACACACACATAATGTAGAGCTAGTTTCTTACCAGTAACCAGTCATTGCGTCCTCTCTCATACTCTCTCGTCTACGCGCTCACACAACATAAACGCGCCATCACTTTGCCGCGCCAAATCGCAAACGCCGGGGGAGGCTCTGTAGCTGTACCACAAGTGACACGTTTACTTAACTTTATTCCCGTCGATTAATTCCAGTTGATAGTCTTTCTCACTTCCCAATCCCTCCTTCTCTTCATGTACTGTCACTATGGTGATCTTTTCTACAAAACCATGCCCCTCCCGCTAACCCTGCCCCACGAACACCCTCAGGAAAAGAACTTTATGGTCTCGTAGATAAGTTCCCCTCGCGTCATCGCTCTCAGCTTTCACTGCGACTTTTATTTCCTGTCTTCTTCATCGCAATCACTGCACAGCGCGCTTTCACATCCCCAACACACGTCGTCTAGTTGGCTTGCCGAGTAACTACTAGCTGGCCGTCATCAGTCGTCAGAAAACCATCTGTCATCTACACCACCTGAAGGTTCAGTACCGTCCGCATCTTTCTGTATTTTTTCTATGAACTCCTTCCTATCATCGATCAGATTCTAACGCCTACTAAGCTATGTGTCTCAGTGTGTGTCTATGCATGTTTGCGCTATTGGGCGCAGGCTAGTTTTGTCCCCCGTACTCCACCTTCAGTCCGTCACATGGTGGGTGTAGAATGGGTGGTCTGGATCACACGACGACGAGCACCGGCTCCTGTGCTCATGTCGGTCAGCCAGTTACTACTACGTTAGTCATTGGGGGACCAGGTTTCAGCCCTGCTGACCAAATCGCTTGCATTTTCAATGCAAGATTGAAGTGACGGATACGCGTACTAGAGTTAGTTGCCAAAAAAACATTTTTCCCTCCGAAAACTCGTCCAAGACCGCGACTTAGCGGATTATATAGCTGATTTATCGTTTCAAAAGATGATCGCGGATTAGCATGTGATCATTGTCGATAGTTGTGTATTCGTCATTGCTAGTGATAAGGATTGAAGTGACGCGCGTCGTCGTGCACACATCCGTTCGTCCGTAGAGTCGGTCCGCGACCACCGTAACCGTGACCGCAGCAGTAGTCACCCCGTAACCGCAGATCCAACGGCAGCGACAGCAGCGGCAGCAGGAGCTGCAGCAGCGGCAGCAGAAGCAGCAGCAGCAGATCTGTCACATCCGCCGCCATCCTCGATGAGCTCAAACAATCCTCTCGGATCAGATGATTGAGATGCCGATCGATTGGGCATGGATATATCGCGAAATAGCGCTGAGTAAACAGACACGCCGATCATTGCCAGGCCGACATAACCAGCTGTGTGTGAGTGTGAGCGGACGGACGATGGAAATATGCTGTTGCTGCTGCCTTACTGCTAGATGTTACTGGATCGACGCCACATAGCCCAGGCCCAGGAGATGCTCTCATGATGTGCCGGATTTGTCCCCACGAGCGACGCCCCCATCCTTGTCTGTCCTGGCGAATTAGGCCAGGACTTGAGAAACGTTCAAGCACTTTCAATATGCTCCGTACCTCTGTCTATCTGTGTGAGTGTGTGTATGTATCTAAAGAGTGTCCTCACGGCGACACTTGTGCTCGAACAAAGCAGAAGGGTCCCGCTGCTCGAAGCCGCCGCCCCCGCCCCCGATCTGCCGCCGTTCGATTCGATTCGTAGGTGAACGACAAGCTACATCTTCAAGTGCTCTTTTGCCGACTTCAGTCAAAATCCAGGAGTTTCATCACACTTTTGTGACAGCCCTTTCCCAAAAGCTCCTCAATTCCTTTAGATTTAGCCATGGCCGCTCCAAAACTATCAGGTGCCCATAAGCAACTGCTCCCATGAAACACGGCTTCACCCGAATTTCGGCAACATCCGTGGGACTTTCTGGTCGCTATCTTGGATCTGCCCTTTCCATATCTCTCTGAACATCATAAATTCTTGTTCTTGCGAAGTTTATGAGCCTATTATTAAGCAGTAATTGCAATTAGTCTTGGTTAGTTGTTATATTCGGCTCGCACTATTGACATACGTATTGATTGAGTTTAGCGATTATTTGCTCATTTTGGCTTGCCGCTAACCACCCACTGAGAAAAGGCAAGTTTCTTGTTTTTCTTTCTTTCTTTTGCTGTCTTTCCAAACATTTGATTCTTTTCTTTTACCTTCTGATATTACTGAGTAGTAGTACTGCATAAAAGTTCTCCCTTTAAATTTTCACCCCAAATGGAAGCCATTTTCTTGGCTCAGGGTACTTTTCATGTACTCGGAGATGAGAACTGCTTCCGAAATGGCATCGTACTAGTCTAGATCCAAACTACTATGAGCCTCAGGTAGTAATTACCTATTGATAACACTTGCGCGATGACAATTTACGTGATTTGTTTACTGAGTACCCGATCAGAGTACATATTTTTACTAAGAATCACGATGATAACACGAGTATCCCTCAAGTACATCCACCCATCCATCCACCTCTCGAATACACTCAAATATCCAATTATTTTTTGGATAGCGATTGTAGGATACACATTAAACGGACACTTTCCGTGAAAGGTCAACAAACTCTCCCAGGTTTGGTGATTTGTGGGCAAAACTTCAGTCTCGGACGGGACTTGAACCAGTACTTGTGCTTTTCGGGCGTAAGGCGGCGAAATGACCGCAGTCAACAAGAACATTGAGTCAAAACAAGATCAACAAACTTGTCAACGATCCAAACGGTCTACTATTATTCAGTATCATCAATTATTCTAGTTTATCATTATTTTGGCACCTTGTAGTATAACAAAAAACACGAAAAGAAAAAGAAAAATGTAGGAGAAAAACATTAGAATACCGTCTCTGAGCAGTCCTTTTTGCTATCCTCCAACTATTCCATTTCAAATTGATTGACTTCTGACTCAGGTTTACTCATTCGAATCGATTTGTAATCTAAAACTCTTCATTTTCTCAAACCCTTCCAAAAATTGTACTTGAAACAGCAATGTTTCAGAAATTTCTTGAGGTTTCATTAAAATCGCCTGAAACCTTCTTTTCTACTTTTGTTTGGCGTTCGTACACTAAGAAGTATGTGTCATTGGCATTCAATCAATCATTCATTTTTTCAAACTATTACAATTCCGATATCCGGCGCAAAATATCTCTGGGCAAAGGGTTTTTATTGAAGAAAGTAATCTGTTACGAGATCTTGTACGTGATTTTCGCCCAGCTCACGTCCCATAACATTACTCATCCAACATTTCTCTGAGTGTATTGATAGGTCCAGAAAGCGATTTAGCCTGTACCCCGATGCAGATCAGTCCTGCTGTAGCCTTCGGCACTACCACCGGTGCGACATTTTGGATCGCCCCGCCCATAGCCGGGTCCGCCCCCCACACTTGTGTAATAAGACGATTTTTCAGATGGAAAAGATATGTGACTCACGCGAAAATCTTGCACCATCGCTCTCAAGATCTGCTTGGTTTTCCTCTGCCCAATCCATCTGTCTGTGTTGTTACAGGTATCCAACCACTTGTCCTTCCCCAAGTGGTGCTTTTGCTAGGACTGGATACATGACGGAAGTCTCGTTTTCTTCCAGGACAGGTCTGATCAGACCTGAAATTGGGGAAGTAACTAAACGGGATTCCCCCAGAAAATCAAGATGGGTAGCAAAGTTCCAAAAAGTAAAGTAGCCTTGTCTACTCTGATCCTGATCAGGGTCATCGGGCGCACTGGGCTTTCCCCCGTGACGGAATGGTCCTCTCAAGTTGGCAATTTTTGGGAAAAACCAAATCGTCACTGCTCTTTAAATAGCCCAATTGTCTAGCAAAGGTGGGTTGGTAGGCCCGCTGATTCGCTCAATGTAGACAAAGCTTTCGAATTTAAAAAAAAAAGTCAATTATTGAATACCCGAACAGCTTGTAGTTTCGTCGAATCCACTCGTAGGATAAAACAGCTGTGTTTGTTCAGATAGCTCGTTGCTGACTTCCTTCGTCATACTGTATTGACACTGTAATTTTTACTGAATTGCTATGGTACTCCTTCAAATAGTTTATAAAGTTTATGGCTTGAAATGTACGGATTAAAATAAAATTTAAATCAATTTGAAATACACCCCGTAGAAACTAGAAACTACAAAAAGCAGCTACAAAAACAAACACCCTGTACAAACTACAACCACGTTCATCGTAGTGACCAACTAGTTTTCACTGGACCATCCAGCCTTCACAGGGCAACTGAGACCTTTGGACCTTTTCCCCTATTTTCCACTCAAATAAGCTTGAATTATGAACTGATGTTTACAATTATCGTATTCTGATGCCTTATAGTTCACGAAAATCCACGGAACCGTTCCGTCCCCACATAATTTGTACTATGGTGTATACGATTGCAGCTAAATCACTTAAACTCAAGGGCGCTACAACTGTTCATGAGAGGTCTATCCACTACATTACGGTGATTTGTGTTGAACGTCCTCCGTCCTGCGTCCGTCAGTCCGTCAGTCCGTCATCTGTGGGCAAGCTGACTGGGGGCAGCGGCGGTTGAGCGCCGACGGGCGCCGCCGATGCTGCTGCGACAGTTGCCCGAGCGGCTGTCAGCCGGGTGTTGACTCTCTAGACCTCCTCCCACTCGCTTCTCATCTTATCTCATCGCAGAAGTGTGCTGTCTCCCTTGAACACTTTCACATAGCCCAAGATACTTCAACCATTAATCCTCTCCAATTCGTTCCTCCCTTCATTTCCTTCTCTTCATAAATTCACTGCTACTTAGGATGTATTTGACTTTACTCCGCCCATATCCTATTTGATATTTCCGTGTATTCCGCCGTACTTTTACGTCCTGGTCGCGTCGTTACTGTAGTATTATACACTCTAATAAATCTACTTTCCACAGGTTATCGTAATTCCCTGCGGGACATTTGTGTGCGTGTGTGTGTGCAGTGTGCAGTGTTTGTTTCGTCTCAGAACTAGGTGGTCGCGTCGTTACTGTAGTATTATACACTCTAATAAATCTACTTTCCACAGGTTATCGTAATTCCCTGCGGGACATTTGTGTGCGTGTGTGTGTGCAGTGTGCAGTGTTTGTTTCGTCTCAGAACTAGGTGAGTCCTGGGCGATTCAGTCCAGTCCTTCATCCATTTACAGGGAAGGGAATCCATGGATCTGCATGGATTCCAAAGATATGTAGTGATATGATAAGTATCACTGGTAATTTCAGCTATGCTTCCATCTTCAGTATATGGACAGTTGAGTGATCCGTTGGTGCAAGCAGCAGCGGCAGCCTTGGCATCCGCCGGAACGGATTCTATCATAGGTGAGAAATGACACCCTGCCTTATCCCCCACACACGCGGACGACCGCTTTGACAACCCGCCAAACCGCAGCTTGCCCCCCAACCCGGTTTCATTCCCGCTATGTGTTTGTGTAGGTGGGGGGCGAGAATCAGACCCGGTTCAGCACTTATTTCGATTTCACACAAACACATATACAATCACATGATTACATCGCACAGGAACTTTTTTGTCCCGAACATCGGTCACAGAAACTTTCCCGAACCACATGGTCACGTGTTCAATCAAAAGTTTATGAGCTTCATTAGTCAGCTACTTGGGCGGAACTCAAGTAGGTGGAGGGAAGCCTCAGGATTTACCACTGAGATCGACTTATGTCATTCAGAGTAAGGAGTCACAAAACCCTGACCTTCTGTTGTCCCCCGAACCCACCGCGAGGGCCTTGAGCGGATCAATGTGTAGTACATCGTGGCTTAAGAATAATATGATTCCTGAGTAAGTACTAGTACATAACAAGGCCGCCGACAAAGTGCGTTAATCTTGCACTCGGCCTCAAACACACTTTAGCCTAACCTAACGAAATAGGAGACATTCACAACATCTACACGCCAAGCCTGAACCGCAAGAAAAACAGGAAAACGGAAGTGTGAAGGCAGGACAAGGGTATTCGGAGACTGACTCCAAAGATTCGTCCTGATAAGTAGTCAATAGTAACTACTAGGTCAAAGCTTCTCTAGGAAACACCTCATGTCACTGGGGTCGTCTATACAGAAATCTAGCAAGTGTTGCTCACGAATATGTAGATCAAAAACCGACTCGAGAGGTTCAACTTGCCCAGTGGGCGGAGTTCCCCATTCCATAGCAGCTTCCTGATTGGATAAGATAATCATTGTGATCAGAATATTACCTTGAACTTTGGAAAATATCTAATGACCGCATTGTGATGTAGCTGTAGCTGAATGGCCTTTTAAGGCTCCTTCTGGATGATGAATAAGCTACCATACATAATGATAACCGCTGCTACGGGTATGCTAATCTGTACTACCCAATCCGAACTAATACCATTTGAAATGACCCCTATTTGGCCGCACTCATCAAATAGTAAATGATTACTGCATAATTTGATGAATACCAAGTTTGATAAAGGCCCCTTTTGAATAATTTACTTACTACTGCTATTTTTTTACGATGTTATTGAATTTCAGGAAGTCGCGATACGATGTTCACAAAAATCTTCGTAGGTGGTCTACCGTATCATACCAGTGACAAGACGCTTCACGAATATTTTGAACAATTTGGCGATATCGAAGAGGCCGTCGTTATAACAGATCGTCAAACACAGAAAAGTCGAGGATATGGCTTCGTAAGTACCCTTCACTCACTACCTGACTACCTGCTTACGAACTTAGCTTAGGCCGCGTTCAGAGTTCGCGACCGTTACGACCTTGCGCGAAACGATCCCACTGACCGTTGTGTCGTTTCTTTGACCTACTTATTGGCATGGTTGATTCCCTATAACTTCCAAGAATATAATTAACACACTTGTCGTCAGAGCTGACAAGCTACAAGAAGTGGAACTCGGAAGAGGCCTAATAAGCGAAGTATCCTTGCAGGCTCGGAAAAACCTCGCATTTGAATCTCGCCAAATCAAAAATTCTGCATCTCCCTAATGCGAAATTTCTCGAATAGCTACCGTATGCTAGACTTTCGCTAACCATGAATTGAAGCCCACGACTAATTTGCAAAGACCGCTAGAGCAACGAAGTATTTCATGGCCAACAAGCAGCCCTAGTCAACCCCTTTGTCCAATTTGACTCGTAGTTGAAAAGAGCTATTCAAGAGAGACTAGTAAACCAATTCGCTTAATTACCTGTTTCCGTTTATGGCAACCGGATGTGACTTGAACACAAAAGTTTAGGTAACAATGAAAGATCGTGCAGCTGCCGAACGTGCTTGTAAGGACCCAAATCCGATCATCGACGGAAGAAAAGCAAACGTTAATTTGGCATATTTGGGAGCAAAACCACGTACCAATGTTCAGTTGGCTGGTAAGTAACAATTACTTCAGAGTAACATTTCAGTCCCGTTTAAACCTATCTAGAAAAAATAAATGAGCGTGCCCTGAGGTTAGCCCAAGAAAAATTTCTGAAAAGCGGAACCTATTTGGACGAGTTTCGGGTAGCGTACTGTAGCTGCCAGATATCACAGTGGCGCGCCTTTTTTTCCTCGGATAGATTTCTTGTTTATTGTTTACAAGAAAAAACAAGCTACTTTACATCAGTTGTTGTTTACTTCGCCCACTTGGCTCCCGAATTCCGCACCTGATCGGCTAACTTTACAACAAATGACTTTCCTTTTTTTTTCTTGTTTTCGTTCAAGTCTAGCAGATGTCATTCACATTTATTATTTTCTCAATCTTACCCACCATCATTTGAAACTACTGTTACTTGTAGGTTATTAAAGTAGCTATGAATAACTTGTATGTAAGTGGCTGAAAAATGCCGTCAAGTTTGCTGAAACAAAGTTCTAGAGGATCTAACCCATAACACTGATTCCAAACTGATTCTAAGAATCTGATTAGACGGCGGGAACATCCTAATTGTGAAAATTCCATGAAAACCCTAGTACAGTAGGCAACCAGTTAGCGGCTCTCAAGAGTGCCACTCACATGGCCCTTCAGAATTTCGCGATTTTCTCAAAAATTTGGAACGTCCTTAGAGCTAGGAGAACTTGAAAAAGGGCTTTCGTGAATAATCTCAAAAGACATCGCTAGACATGCTGAATTTGTCTACCGTGATAGCACTCTGACACGTTCGTTACACAAGGAAAAGGGGGCCAGTCCAAGAAAGCCACTCAAATTTAGCAAAAGTGAATCCCTATTGAATCCTTTCATACTTCAACGGTCCCGTTTTTCTTCCATCGCGTTCCAAATCCCTCTGTCTCGCATTGGACTAGAAAAAGCTTCGACGATCGTTCACTAAAGCCCGAAAGGGTGCTCGTTCATTTTCCAAAAACCCTTAGGCCGTGTTTATAAAGCTGGCTCTGCTAGGACAGGACTACTGTCGGTTTTCTTCGAGATTGCACCAGCTTGGACAGAGAGAAAAGGGAGGGGGAAAGGGGGACCGACAAGCTTAGCATGGTTCGGGAGAAACATTTGCGAACAATTCAGGGAGTTACCTTTTCTATCCTTACTAAACTGCGTCAGAAAAAATTTGGGCCGTTTCTAAGAAGGGTCAGACCTAGTGGTCCGTAGAACCCATACCGCAACAAAGCCACCCATACTGGACGTAGAACTTTTGCGACAAAGTCGGCCAAGAGTTACTATCGATTCATTCCGATGACGATCTTCCTTCCTATTGATAATTGATGATCAATCCGCTGATCTTTCTCTTGTATTGACGTTCTCCTTCAAGCGAATCTCTATCCTATCTCTTTCAGCACTGGCGAATCAGGTTCAGTTGCCGCTGCAGACTCAGTTACAGGCGCTATTCCCGACACGTATTGGGTGAGTCGAGTCGTACTGGTTTCTTATCTCATCCATACCGCTTACACTACGGTATCTGGGATCAGGGCCTTTTATCAAAACATATTCATATCATTTTAGCTATATGCGTAATGGTTGACCGACTAAATGAAACATGAAATAAAAGGTTAGGCGTGCGTGTGCGATTTGATTCCATGCTGTGTGTGAGGTGGCGGTCGATCGGATTCGGGTCGAATCGGGTCAGATCGGGTTCAGATCAGTAGTGCTAGATGGATTCGTCACGCCGATCACCGTCCTCCTCTTCTAGCTAGGTGGTTGTGAGATGCCATGGAGACGTCAACTGTTTCGATGCTCATTTAATAAGCGCATGTCTTTTATAGTTCACATATTTCCCAATTATTCCTGTCCACACGGCATAACAGGCTGTCGTGCGATCGGATGCAGCACGTAGTGGTTGATGTCTCACTACTCGCAATTGTGCTGTGAATCGATTCATTGGCTGCACCGCGCCGCGACCGTTCGCATCCCATGTCGGCCGTCACAGGCTCTTCACCAAAACACGGGATGTTGGACACCAGTCCAGAATTCAAGAGCAGCAGCACGTCTGCTCGTCGTCTCCTCGTCATCCTCATGCCAACTAGCCAGGATTTGTGAGGCACGGAAGATTGGCACACGAACGAAGTCATCCGAATTCCACAGACAACTACCAACGATCTCTCTTCTCTTTCGGCCCAACCCACGAATTTTCTTCTAATTCTTTTCGCCACTAACATGCGATTTCGTGACGGCACGCATGTACGTTTGGGGTGAAGCTGCGTGCGTTACCGTAACCAGTGAGTGGCGTATTGTGTTGAATGTAATCCAGTTACAGACTACCACAACTATACTATCCATCAGCCGGTTTGATGAATCCATTATTGGGAGCTGCACAAAGTCCTGGAGCCGTTGATTATACGGCTTTAGCAGCAGCTGTTGCAAATGGACAAGGTGCAGGAGCGTATGCCATTCCACAAGCTGGATCACGATTTCAAGGTGAGTAAGTGAACCCGATGGAGAGAATCCAATGGAATTGACCGATTCTGACATCGACATCAACTATTTCACAGTTTCAGTTCAAGCTGCGCAAGCCGCCGGTTTGGATCCATATGGATATGCTGCGGCTGCTGGTTACGGTATCATGCCAGGGACGTATCAACTTCAATCAGCGCAGCTAGCTGCCGCTCAACAACAACTCGAACACCAACGAGTCTAATTTCCTTCCTTTTCCTCTATCTTTTTTTTTCCTTTTTTCATCATCCATCACTATTTTCTTCTCGGTTCTCCCTTCTATTTTTCATGCATATAATATTTAATCTCTGCCATATGAATTACCACACTCACGAGAATCCTCAACGGCACTGTCATCGTCGTCGATTTCATCAAAACACAAAAATTCTCGTACCATAATAAGTGTCGTTTCAGAATCCGTATTAAGAAAACTAGTCGTAACCATTAGGTAATTGTCGAGTGTCGAGTTGTACTATTCGAATTGAGCGAGTATTTTTCTTTCTAATTTCTGAAATATTATTTTTCTTTGTATCACATTTGAATATAACCACACACAGCCTCAGTTGCCTGATTCAATGTGCCATCATGAAAACAGAACGTCTTCATTTATTCTATATGCTATATAGACAAAAAGAAAGAAGAATATTGTATTCTTAAGTGTCGTAAAGTAACTAATCAGTAACTAATTACTACTATAGCTCATCAAGCGTTGTATTTGACTAGTAGTCAGTCAATCACTCAGTCAGTCAGTCATTAAAATCCAATCTCAAAAATTCAAGCTAATGTCATTGATATTGCTGTCGTACAGTCTTGACCCTGGCCCCCACCTGTCTTCCCCCCAATTCGTTCTATGTATCATTTCGACCATGTGTCGATAAAGATTAAAGGTTTTCATGAGCCATATTGTAAATTGTCTCTCTCTCACCCTGTACCTTATGCAATAATAATGAATAATTATTGAGAGCACGAGGGAACGAAATAAAGCCTTATTCAAGTAAAGTTGGTACAAGAATTAAAGCAAAAATTCATAAAGATTGCCTAGGCTTGGCAGTAGACACAGTTCCCAACAATTCTGAGGCATCTAGCTTAACATAATTGGAGAAATCAAGCTGAATGGTGTAAAAATTGCGAGGAAAGCGCAAAAATCGGTGAATTTTAAGAAAGATAAGGCTTTAAGGAAGAACCGAGCCGATTGAACGGATTGATGTGCCTTACACTGCCTGGGTCTCCAACATAGGTATACTATTCGCTGGCGTCCTAACGCCTCATTGTGATTGGTGCAGCCTTAACTTGGCCGTCAAAACATGGCCATTTTTGGGTGTGTACGTCGGCCAAGAAGATTTTGAGCCCTCGTAACGCCCTGCCAAAGTCGTTTTTCTATTCGATGATGTCCCACGTGCTGTCCTTCGGGGCCACAGGTTCATATTAGGAAGAAATCTTCGAAACCATTTTTATCGCGAACTGTGTCTTTAAGGCCCTATCTAAAATTCTGAGGAAGCAAAAGCGATGAACTGCACTTTCTCACAGAATTCCCCTTTACCAGTCATAAAGCTCCTGTGCAGTGATTCGAGATAGCCAGTTGAAGGTTTCCCTCTATCAGACCAGTGTGATGCTAAACAACCACATCCCATTGGCAAGAGATAACTTGAAGGCTTGGTATCCCTGATGGAAAAGTCCAGGGATGATAACGATGCCTCTAGCCTCTGCTGTGCCTCCGCCTTTTTGATAAAAATAGAGCTATAGTGCCTCTTGACGGAACATGGCGTTAAGCATGAGTTCCGAGGAACAGCTGCTGTCAGCGTTATTATCCGCTGTCAGTTCTTGATCCCAAACAGCAGATCCTGATTAGGAAGCTTAACTGGCCTGAGCTGGATTCAATTCAGATTTTAACTGGGGAACTCTGATGCTGTTCGAAGTTCTCCTTCATACCCTTCGTGTCTAGCTGGAAGCAGCTCTTTTATTCAAGGTGTGCCTGAATTTTGGGACACTTATCGCAAACAGTTTTTCCAACAACGTGAGCCACCGCGGTCGTGGGAAAGAATCGATAAGCATTTCTAAAGTAGCCGGTGGATTGAGAATGTAATAATCAATAGTGCTATTCACCTACATGGTGGATTACCCTTTGAGCATCAGTAGAGAAAACCAATTGCTGCGGTATCGAGCCTCTTATGTCGTTGATGACGAAACAGCTGTAAAGGGCGCGGTCAACACACGCAAGCTCAGAGGATCGAGTTTTGCTCAGGCAACTCAGGAGCAGTGTAGCAATCAGACTGCTATTTGACAGGGACTACTATTATGAGGTGAAAGTCGAACGGAAATGCTTGTGATGCTTCTTCGAGGCCTATTTGGCCCTAACTATAAATAAACAAAACTTAGGAGGGGTGGCTGATTTACTTGGGTTGCGTCCTTCATTGCCTCGATACATCAAAGCTTCCACCACAGAGAAAGCACAATGACAATGGAGTAACAATAGCATTCCAGCGCAGTGACTAATTAATTAATGATCAGAGTCAGCTCAAAGGTTACATTCACCGATGCCAAAACCAACGGATGAATGTTGGGCAGTGACAAGGGGCCTTGACCCCGCATGAATGTTTGGGATTGTCCCGTCAGCTCAAATCCCAAGCCAGTCAAGCCGCCTGTCCCCCAATGAGTCAACCAATCGACAGCAAGTAGGACAGTGATAGGTTCTCAGCAGTTTATGATCAAAGCAGGCTGCCACTGAAGCATGCGTGTTTGCTCGGGAAAAATCCTTTTAGTGACGCTCACGAGTGAGAATCACGGTGATACCTTCCCACGCTGATACGGCCCTCTCGGGCACCACAAAAATTGGCAGGGAGGCTTGGGGACCCTGTGCCTCTTTGGCTTCACTGGGTAACATACACCATAGCACATCACGCAATTACTTAGTACATTCTATACACGCAATTATGCACTCAGTGATGCTCCCAGCAGACCTCGCCGATCCCTGGAAATGTCAGGAGCGGCGGTTTAGACTGATGTGCTGTTCACAATCTGTAATGCACCGTATGAGACACGGGTTTGTTCGTGAGAAAAGCGTGAGAAAATCTAGGGTGCTAGAATTTCGAAGATGCTGTGACCATTGTCTATATGTGTTCCAGCTGTTTGAGGAGCCTGTGAGACGATAAATTCACCAACTCAAGGTCCTATCTGAGCTTCTCGCCTCCTTTTCCCGGATGTTCGTATAGGGCTGATTGTGAGATGTCAGCAAGCTCCAGGGCTGCGCCCTCTATGTGTCTTTATGCCGCATATCAGAACTCTGATTGATACCACTTTTTTCTCAAAGAAGAGCAGCTCTCCCTCACACAGTGGAGGTCCCATTGTGATACTGATGATGCCCTTGATGCGACATTCTTGCTCTATTTTCTTCGTTCCTCTTTTTTACATTATGTTGTTTTGGCCCTCAGCATTGAGCTCTGCCTAGAGGCTCTCTCCTTTTTCTTCTTTTTGAGCATTTTCTTCTGGTTTTTGTTGACAGGAACTGCCTCAGAGTCCTGCTTTTATTGTATGGCACACCATTGGGTGTATTCAATTAAATACATAAATAAATGAAGTCATCCTAGTAAATATACTTTACAGTAACCTGTGAAGACCGGACTAATCACGTACACTGCCTTTGATCTTCCAAGTAAAATCCCAACTTGACAACGCATGAAGGCCTTTTTTTCCCTTTTGTACCACGAACCACTCCTAAGGGAACCTGTCAAATTTCGTGTACTTAGCCTTTCCACTTGTTCTGAACGATTCGTCTACGATAAACAAATAGAACATAATAACACACTGGGT